TGTTCGGCTTTACAAACTCGTTCCTATTTATCTGCATTGCCTCCTAATGTAGCCACTGTCCTTTGTTTTACAGACCAGRGAAGGCAAATCCATTTCAAATTACGCATATTCCTTCACTATATTGGAAATGTGAAAATATGCATGTCTTCCACGTTGCGTGCTCAGATCCAGTTGTATGATCAGATCATGTGACAGGCCTACATCTCACTATCTTTGGCTTCTAATCACCACATTTATTTTGTTACATCAGCTCTCCCAATATCCCATCAAATAAGCTCGAGTGTGTGAGATCCCTTTGACTGGCAGTTGTAGTTGTTCATTTGTGACTTAAAAGGGTCATGTCTCAAATCCATTACTGGAAAAATGCTCATTTTATGTTTATAAATGAGTGTAAGGCTAGCTGGAAAAGGGGGCATATTTTCTGCTAWTTGCAAATATCTTTTGATGAGTAGTGGAAGTTGCCCAGTAGAGCAGTCTGCAAGCCTAATGCAGCCTATACTCAGTCATGGGCTAGTGAGAGATAATTGTGGATAGTTAATAAAACTTCAGTTAACTGATGTTACTGATTCAAGTACCACAATTTAATTTCTTCTCTACAGATATTGAGCTCTGTTGTGTAGCTTTTCTTTTGTGATAAAGTAATGGTGCTTCAGGACAAAAGCAGTACCTTTTCCTCTCAGAAGCAAAATGAAATTGAAATTGTCTTGAAAGCTCTGTGAGCTGACAAACTGTCTTTTCAGAGGAAGTTTACGAGCTGCTATGTTTCTGAAATGGTGATCTTCTATTTGGGCACGCCTTTCAAAATGTTGATGTAATAGCACTGGAAAAATGAACAGTCCTCTCTTCTACAAATGTGCAAAACGTCTAGTMAAACTGTACTTAAAACACTCACCAGATATACTGACTACTAGAATTGCTTTTATTCTGGATTTCCATCACTTAAACAATAATCAGTAATAGAGTTGAAGTGCATGATGATTTGTCATGCTGTGTATGGCAGCATCTAACATTAAGATAGAGCTACCTTAACCACCTAACTGAGGAAGTGTGTTCATTGTTTGGATAGGTCCAATTTACCATTTAKGTTTTCTGTTTCTGACTTAGTGTGTGTTGAATGTTGTAGTGTCTTCTTGTTTATAGTAAACCAGGCAAACTGACCTCAAGAACTTAAGTCCATTTGGAGTGGAGCATGTTTTAAAATGCATTTTATTAATCAAACCCAACTGTCAACTGGAATTCAACATAAAGTCAAGTAAAATATTGCTTATTGTGACTTTTCTCAATTGGTTAGGCATTAGATGATGAATTTACAACAACAGGAAAGCAGAATCAATGGCACAGTAGACCTATTTCTGAATGGACCACCCAGCAAGTATGCCATTGGTTAATGGGAATGAACATGGAGCAGTATATTACAGAGTTCACAGCTATGAATGTAGATGGACAGCAATTAATGCAGCTCGACAGTGAGAAATTAAAGGTAYGTGAATATCCCGCGATAGATTTGTAACTATATAGGTTCACTGCTTATTCAGACATTTTTAACCTACTAAGTTCCATTTCCTGGTTTTGTGGCTTTTTGAGCGATAGAGTTATTTGCTCTGGTTATTTATTTTATTTTTGAGTTAYTTGCTTTTGAAATATTTGGAGCCTACATAGTCAGATGCTAATTAGTAATTGATTGCAGAATTAAAGACAGGCTGTTTATAGCCAGAAAAATAACAAATATTTCTTCCTTGTTTGTATCTTGAGAAAATGACAGTAAGCATAATTGTCCAAGGGGTCTTGATAAATTGGTCACCAGTCTCAACATMAGGTTATATCAAAGTAAGTTCCTGCCAATTCAAATAGAATTGCAGGATCCAGTTTTAGCAATCTGTTTCTTCCACATTTCCTCTTCAAATGGGAAGGCTAAAATCCCATCTGGAGACCTTTTAAATGTTTTAATTTTTTCCTCCTGCTGAAAATATGTATTCTGAATATTTTGAACTTTTTTTTTTACATCYGGAAGCTGTATTGTATATGTATCCCTTATAGTGCTGGGAAACTCCTGCAGTTTCTCTTTCTTGTTGGATCATCAGACTGCATTTTGGACAGGCAGGATGTGCAACTAAAAGAGGTTGTTTGCTCCATTCTGGCATAAGGCAAATTTTATTAATGATCAGTAGTAGAATTGAGGAACTATTGGGGGGGGGAGGGAATGTCTAACTTCAGTCTCCAAAATATACCTGCATTTTAAACAGACATGCTACTCTAAATGTGCTGTATTTTGTAAAACATAATGGGCACAGAGGAAATACCAATGACTGGCCTGTCAAATGACGGTCTCCATTTGGGGARCCTCGAATGTTGACGCCTAAAGCTCAATGTACAACTGATGCCATACGGGCTGAGAGTACGAGTGTGGTCACGCACTTGGAATCGGGTGCTGCCACCTGCCGATCGGAAATCGAAGTGTACTGTCCCCTTCCTGAGTCACTTCTTAATAATACTCTTTAAAATCCTTAAAATAAAGAGTAGTTACTGTATAAAAAGAGCTATAAAAATACATATGGTATTATTTTCTGGACATTCTCTGGGGTTTACATGTTTGTAAAATGCAGCACAAAACTGTGTTTTGTGAAGAGTTGGCCCTGCTTTCGTTACCTCCCTGATTACCCAGATGATTGTTTGCAGTGCTTTTGAGGCCTTAAGTCCTTATTTTTCAAAGAAACAGACTATCGTGTAGAAAAGTGAATAACAACTTCCTTACATTGTCAATGCACAACCACTGTTGACAGTGCTGTTGGAAAAAATTGCTGATGAGATTTTGTTTTTTTTTCCCCTTCCAAAGGCTTTGGGAGTTTCCAGTCAAACTGACCGATCAACAATAAAGAAAAAAATTAAAGATATTAGAAAAACACAGGAAAAACTGGAAAAGCAGAAGGAAAAGGTTCAAAGGAAGGAAAAAGAAGTTCGCAAGACTGGCAGAGTGGTGGCCACTCTTGAATCAAGCTGCTAAAATGACTATTTTATTTTAGTGCAGACTTGCCTAATCTTGAGGAAGTTCAGCAGATTTGTATATAATTGTACAATTGAGGGAGGAGGGAAAGTGCAACAGTTCAACGTGGTAGGTGTTTTTTTTACTTTTTAATTGTGGTCCCTCCCCATTACAGCCCAATAAAAAGAAATAATGCTTTCAGTATTTTTATTTCTAGTTGACTCTGCCTGTACTAATAAACAACAATTTAACTTTCTGCCTTAAATAACATTTCTGCTKCTAAGGCATCATATGTGCTTTTCATTGAAATTGATGTTTGTGAAAAGTAGAATACTGTATTAAAAATCATTCCAATATTAGTCAACTAGCATTTGATAGAGTTGTATCTGATAGAGGGACAATAGAAAAATCCTGCCAGCAAATTCAGTCTGTGACAGTCTGTTTATCTGTTGTCACTAAAGGTGTATAGTAAAGATAAGAAAACGGTAACGTCAAATTAATTCTAAAAGAAAGCATGTATTTCAAATTTGTGGATTGCTTTGTTTTAATTCTTGTACTTCTGGGACTTCATTCCAAGTTCACTTTAGCAGCACATTGTTTTTGAATTCTATGTTTTGCAATTTACTGAGAAAATAACAAGAAATACTAAGTAGTTTTCACAAACTACATATCCTAAGCATAATATTAAGTTTTCTGTACACTGCCCATATGGTGTTGGGACAAGGTTTAAGCCTATAAATAASACCCTTTTTAACCTATTTTTCCTAAATAATACATAGTTTTATAGATTTATGCTATGAATAAGATCAATTTTCAATACATGTATTTCTCTTTTCTACATTCTACAAGATTTTTGTGGACCAAATTTATATATTTGCTAATTTTAAACTATACTGTTTTTCAAACTTAAAATACTGAGGAAAGAATTGTAGGAAAAATTATCACTGACACACTGGGTTTCTGCCTTGTATTTAAATGTTCAGTTGTAGACTACAGATTATTTCTCTTTAAAGGAGGATTTGATTCTTGAAATAGCTTAGAACATGATTTGATGTTTTGTATATTTATATACTATTTTCTAGAGATACTACCAGAGCACTTCCTTAAATTAGATTATTCCAGTAACATAGACTAGATTAAGTATCAGTTCCACCCTAGAATGGACTAGAACAAAAYGTACTTAGTTTGTTTATGTGGACCAAGTTCTCCTTTAAATCAATGGACTGTTTTTCATTTTAATTAAATGAATGAACTTCACTGTTGGTGTTTCACCTTCATTTTTTTTTGTATAAATGTCTTAAGAATTTCAGTAAAAGGACTGCGGAAATGCTTCTGCACACTAGGCATTTCGAAAATAAAGGCTGAAAATCTTGGTGATAATTACTTTTTTACAGAGGTTATATTTCAGTTTTATGCATTCTTTGGTCAAGATTTAACTTATTTACTTTGTTTGCAGTAGCTTGGAGTGGTATGCAGAATTTACAGACATTGAACCAAAGAGAAATGCTGCCCTACTGATAAATAAGGAAGGAATTAGAAGTATGGAATCATCAAATGCTCAGGATCACACATGTAAAACCTCCCCTTTTATTAATTCAGCTGAGAAAATGGCGTGCTTTCACAGCTAGAAGACCRAATATTGATAGAACCCTGTATTGCCTTTTCCCTTTAAGCCTACTGTTGCACCGTGTGAAGTTTTCTCATAAAGGAGACTAATGGAAATAACGGTTTCAGAGGTTTACCTGTGTGCAGACTTGTTGTAGTTAAGGAGGGGCCATAGCAGGGATGATAAACTCCCCTGGCACCTGAGCATTGATGAGAACATTGATTATCAGAGACCACAGCATTTAACATCTGTCGAATGTTGAACAGGAAGGCTGCACAGAACGAGCTCAGTAGCAAGCTACACAATCACCCAACAAAGTTTAGTTCTTAAAATAGTTTTAATGAATAAATGCAGTGATTCTTTCAAAAAATGAACACAAACCAGGAATCATTTTACAGTGTAAGATTGAGCTGATTTGCACACAAAACAATTAATCTCAGCATTTTGACAGTATACAACTTTTCTATAGTGATTCACTTCATCTTAACCAGTGTGCTAGCAATGAYTTCAGTATGGTAATGAAAATAACTACAAAAGTTGTCTTCTGCACTTTTATTTAAGCCAGAGTTATCAAAAATCAAATTTGTAACTATGATTAAGTATTGTAAATCAAAATATTACACAATAGTGTTTTCACCACAATCATTGGRGATGGCAGGTGAAGAGAAAAATACAATTGTACAGCCAGTTGTTCTAATAATCAGAATTCGGTTGGTAGTTAGCTAAGAACATGAAAGAGGCTTTATTTCAATATCTAAAACAGTTAATGATTTAGATTAGCTTTTCTTCAGAGACATTGCTTTGACAACAGTGGTTGTCAAATGTTACTAAAATAATTCAGTTGAGTTAGTTAAAAGATTTAAAGCCTAGAATGATCACCTTCAAACCTGAGTTTTTAGAAGCCCTTGCTGTAACTTTCAGCTTTAATTCAGCAAAAGCAAGAGCTGCATGTGTCCCTTCCAATATTTGTACAGGCCCCATTTTACACTATGGCATTTCTCACATCTTCTTGCAGGGCCAAAGAAGAGAAGAGCTCTCAACTCTCCTCATTTGTAGCCATGCAGACTGAAATGTGTGCCAGTCACCACCTCACATCGTTGTAAGGAAGGAAAAGAGGGGCCTCAAGGCACCCACAAGCTTGAGTGGAATAGGTAACCCTACTGTTCTGGTGGTGATTAAGCTACAATAATCCTCCCTCAGACTGTCMGTTTAATTACAGCCCAGTCTGTAATTCACTTCTATTAAAGTGATCCACATTAGCTTGACCACAATATAAAACCATTTTAATTGTTTTGCAGAACTTGGCTAGGGAAGTAGCAGGTGATGAATCTTGAATCTGGCTCAGCTACAGCTAGAGTAGCATGACTTCCATTTCTGACATACCACCTATTCCCTTCACTTGTGGTATCTCACCTGCTGTGTGCAAAATCTAGGCTTACTGTTTCTGAGAAGGATTGTCTGCTGCAGAACAAAAACCAAAGAATTACCTGCAGTTTAATTATCTAGAAAAGGATTAGTTCTCAATGGCTTTAACTGCATCACTCCTAAAATGTTAGGAATGAGAGCAATCAAGGTGCAACAGAGATGTGTATGATTTGAACAAAACTGGCACAGTAAGTGTTAAGTTGGAATTCTTTATTAGGAGGACTGCGTATCTGAAATGTAATCCTCATTCCCTTCTCTGTCTTCCCCTGTATGTTTTGACAGTTTGTCTTTAACTGATTAACATATTCTGGTTATCACATTTATGTTGTAGTGTGGCTTCCAGTTACTACAAAAACAAGGCCAGAAGCCTCTCACAAATACAAAGGTATTTTCAAAAACTGTTAATTACACTTAGTCTTAATTATTCCTGAGAAGGTAGTTGATATTATCAAAGTAATAAAGGTGCCCTATTACAGACAAATTTTAAAAATCTGTTTATGAAAATAATTTCCATTTACAGCTGTAACTGACATACCATATCCAAGTTTGAGATCTTAGGAGGGCTAGAAGATTGATACTATATTTTGGTATAACCTACAGAAATACAGGCAAATGCAAGACAACATTACTCTACACAAGCCAATGCAATTTTTTAATTCACAATGATCAGGGCAGGGTAAGTTTTTCACATCTACTATATATTCACATTACAACCAATGAAATATGACTAATGCCACATACCTGAGATACTTTATACCAGTAGTAGCAGTTAAAATGCTTTAGTTTTTTTATCCCTACAGAGATGTGATTCCTACAGCTGAAAAAAACCCTTGATATAGGCAGTGTATGTAGGCAACATATCTAACTTTGCAAAATTAAGCTTCAGCATGCTTAAGATAAAAGAACAGAAAACAGTTGCAAAGGTATAGCAATGAGCTTGATATTTCTCACAGAAGTTTTTCATTAATCTGTAGCATTGTATAACAAAAATGTTCCAGTGAGCTTTTTCAATACTTTTTCTAATAAAACTATTTTGTAATTATATTAGTACCAGATGTGATAGAGATTGCATTGAATCGCTATAAAAAACAAAATATTGCTCCTTTGACTTAACTCTCAAAGCACTCATAAATAGAAAGTGAAACAAATTAAGTATGACCTCACTTTAAAAGTGCAGGTTTGGGGGTTTAGGTGGCTATTGTTTTTTTTTAATTTCAGAAAAGCCTAACTACACTAAACTTTGTTTACTCCACTTAAAATTACTTTCACATATCAAAAGTGGCTCAACATCTTGGTATAAATCAGGTCTTTTAAATTCCGTTTACAGACAAACCTACTTCTTATGAACTGCTGAGGAAAAAGCTACATRCTGCGAAAAGTGGTCATGTCCTTTGGCTCACTGCTTGGCACACACCAATCATCTGCTTCATGGTTTGCTTTATAATGTTTCCAGGCTGCTTTGTTGTATACAGGTAGTCTTTCAATTGACTCTGTTGATAAGGCCTGTAAGGAGAAGAGGCTCTAGCTGATGATTCATCTTAATTTAAGTTACCGTAACAGAACAAGGAGTTCCATTAGCAGATTAGAGTTGCTGATAAATGTAAAATGGTAAGGTGTAAYATACCTTGATGTAAATAACTGCATCTGTACCATAGCCTTCTAAGGAATACAGTTTCAGGTCTCCTTGGAAGTACTGTGCATACAGACGTGATATGGGTAAGCCATAACCAAATCCAGCCTGATCAGGAGAAAAAGTATATTTCCATTAATTGCATGAATCAGTGGTATTTTCTGTTTTAACTTAATAGGTAAAATAGACAAAGTAAGCATAATGTTTGACAGTAACAGGAGTTCAGATGTTAACTGTTATGCCCCCACTGAGCTTTCTACATCCCAAAGCCAGAAGAATGCATGGATGATTGTGATTATGATAAACCTGTCTCATTCCTTTGTCAGACAGGGCTGGTAGATAACAAATACTTATTTTGTTATGGTAGGTTTTTGAAGAGGTGCCACTAGAGCAAACTCTGCTCTGTTTCATGCCTCATGGAACATTGAGGAACATTGAGTACTTAAGCCAGATACATTTCCTTGTAAGCAGATTTATATAAAAAAGGTTCAAGACACAATGCCTATGAATTTTGCACTTATACTAAAATCCTACCAAACCCCGACTGTAATAGCCGAACATATCCCTGAAGTGTTAAGTGTAACTTTTTTTTATATACTACATTTTAGAGTTAACCTCTAAATGAGCATACACAACATTTCTCTGTAAAATCTAATGTTTAATGAGTTGCAGTCATCTACATGCAGAACACTATATATATTTTTAAATGATGAAGTGTGGGAGAATAAATACAGGAAAGTTGTTCAGAGATTTTAACTGAGAGCTTAGGCTTTATTTCTTGTGCATTTATTASATTCATATGAGACCAAAATAGATTCTTCATTTGCYCTGTCACATCTATGTACCTTCATCCTTGCTAGAGAATGGTACAATTGACTACACAATACAGGTGAACTATGGCCTTGATCCAAAGTCCTTGCTGTAACTATTTTTCCTTTATTCAGTGGCTACAAAAATAATTCAGTATTCTGTTCTCATTACAGTACATGCAGCAGAGCTAAGTGTTCTGCTTGAGGTGGCTGATCTTCAGATTTAGTAGAGAAAAAGAGAATCTTTTATAAGATTTATATTTATATTTGTTCTTTATAAGAACAAATATAAGTAATTTGTAGTATTTATGCAATATTCCAGTTATTTTTAGAAAAATACTGGAATTAAGCTGTAACATTCAAATATTACTCAATGTAGTATCTATAAAATCAATATTTCATATCTTTGGCTGAATGGTTTTTGTGACAATTAAAAATTTCCACAATGCCACGGTATAAAAGATTTGCATACCAAAGGTGTAGCACGTGATGTCTCAACACGAGGACGTGGTGCTGTTGAATACATGTAGTTGAACAGTCTATCAATTTTCCTCATAGGAACACCACCACCACGATCACTCATCTGGGACAARAAGGAGCATTCAGCTTTATATGCCTGAATACATTTTTATAAAAGACAGCTTCTCTCAAACAATAACCCAGAGAAAGTTCAGGTAAAACATTATTTGAAGTTGTCCCTACCAAGTTACAGGTTTTCTTTAATTCTCATCTCCAGTAATGACGAGGGAGAGATGAATCCTTCCCTTTCATTCCTTATCCAAACTATTAAATAAAATATCACCATAAGAAGCATTCACAATCTTTTGGAAGTAAGGAAATTCTACTTGAACTGTGCATTGCTTTTATCTTGTTCATAACCCACTTTTGTCTGAAATCACTATCAATACCTTTTACCAAATACTGGGTTCTCTAYGCATTTAATCTTTATTCCCCAAGAACACTGCCATTTTATGTATCATTTACTAAAACCTATTACTGAAGGAGTAAGTCAAAGGATTTGTTTTACTACAGTTTAGTTAGTCCTATGAAAAACCCAGTGCTTGCTGTTGGTCTTTGAAATCCACCATGGATGTTGTACAGGAAAAGAAGAAACTGCGAACTGTACCTCAGGAGGTTGGTTTTGTATGGAATATACAACATTTATTTTCCTTTCTTTTCAGTTGTTTTACACCTGTTTAGCTCTGTTATTGTCATTTACAAAATGCTGATGTTACAACTGTGTAACAATCCTACTTCATTTTTAGTCATGGTTGCTTCTAAGCTAGGCAACACATAAGCAAGTACAGGATGCTGTTGCAGAGCCCTCAGTGTGACTGCAATCTCTTCATGAATTTCCCACTGGTGCAGTACGTGAAATTGCATAATGGTTGTTTTACCTACATATTTCATCACATACATTCTATTGATGGAACCAGATCACCAGCTCAAGTTACTAATATGCTGCTCATGACAGGGAAAACCCTAATCAAAATAACCTTAAAAGTAAGTTTTAAAATTGAGTACCTTCACAGTTAAATCCTCATCTCCCAATGTGATGTGTACATGAATTGCAGGATAAATGCATCGATCAGCATGATGTTCCATGGTGGCTCTCATTGCATTCTGTAATTTTCAAGAACAATTAAATCCTATTCACTTTGTATATTATCTTAAAACGTCAATTTAGCAGTTACTTTTATCATGTATTGAAGCATCTGTACAAGTGTATTGTTTAGAATGGATTTTAAATATTTGTGGTTTATTCAGTATCAGTATATATAGTTTATATAATATACATATATCAGTATATATAGTTTATTAGAATACAGAGACTAAATTTTTTTAAAAGAAACATCTGAAATGTATAGTTTAATGTATAGAGTTTTTGCTGCAGAATTCTTTATAATGCACATAAGTACATGCAATATGACACAAAGTTCAAGAAAAGTCTAGGACAGAACTGCTTGAGGAAAGCTCTGTAGAACATGCTATGCATTTTACCACATTTGAAGATACACAATTTTTGGGATATCTTATTCTCACTTGCTTTATTAACTAGTGTCTTCATATATTTTAAGATTTAAGCTGTCTGTTCAAAAGGTGTCAGATATACTCACTGGCTAGAAAAAAGAGATACATCTTCCAAAGTGGTTCATTTTCTATGCAATTACTGTTTGTCTCAATAGTACAATTTAGCTGTGTTCCTGCAGTCAAATGGCAAGAGGTTTGCACTTGCAAAAAGATACTGCTATCTAGAATTGGTTCAAGAAGTCAAAGCAATACAATCAATCTCAGTAAACAAATATGTATGAAAGAACTTTGTAATTAATGGTAAGTGCACAGACCTTGAAAAGTTCAAAAATCATGTGATAGAGATGTGATGGCACATATACCACTTGCATGGGCTGTCCCGGTGATTTAGCTGGAGACAAAAGTGAAGAGAGTCTAAATAACTAAATAGCAAATGAGGTATTTTTCATTCATTCCCACAGTAATTCAAAATGTCAATTTTTGAATTTAAAGGAGAATTTGAACAGAAATATTTTCAAAAACTATGTTAATCAAAACTTATAATTAAGATTTTCAAATGTTGTTTGTTGCTTTAGAAATTAATCTTAAAAGCCACTATGGCATCACCGACTAGGGCATATCATAGTTCCTTTCTAATAATCTCCCCACAGGTGTCATGAAGATGGAATGGAGTATCTTGTATAAATCTTCAAAGTGTYGCAAGAAATGCAGAGAGGGCAAGATGCAGTAATGTCAGGTGAAGACACAATGAAATCTTAGGGAGAAATGGAGGCTGCTAAAATTTGTTACATCAATAGCTGTAGYATCAAAAATATCTACTCATGTCACTTTTCTAATTAAAGGGAGGAATGGGGAAAGCATTCTGCCAGACTAAAAAAAACCCAAAATATTTACTACAGTAGATACAGAGAACACATGAACTATATGAAAAGCAGAAGGAGCTTTCACCACCAGTTCCTTTAGAAGAAGCCATCATGATGTTCAAGTGTGCCTTGTCTGTATTCACTTACCATTCAACTCTTCAAGGATAAGTTCTGGAGAACTCATGTAATATAAATCACAAAGTCTCTTGGCATTTTCATAGCCATCTGTAATAAAAAACATGGAAGTTACATTTCCCCCTCCCACTTTTCTTTTCCTCCTTTAGAGTTTGCCAAAAAGAAAAACAAAAAYTGAAAGTACTCTGAACTGTCAGGGAGTGCAGATTTGTATTTTCAGGCAGATTTGTATTTTCTCACAAAAACTGGGTTTATAGGAAAAAAAGATACAAAAATGTATTACACTTTAAATAAAACTTCTGCTCCAAGCAGGAAAGAACTAAACAGTATATGAACTAAACAGTATATATATTTGCTCTTAGTATAGACACTCATATAAGTTTTCAGGATTCTTGTTCTTATCATCTGAATTTACCTCTAATAACTTCAACAACATTGCAGTTAGGATCAATGCTTCCAATGTGCTTTGGATGAGCAGGATTAATTTTCCCACCAAAAAGTAAAGCTGCCAAAAAAAGAAAACATTATTYAAYATCCAGTATCATTTTATAGTTTTAGTTTGTGTCCTCAGTTTTGCTACATAAAAATTAATAGGTAACCTGTAACTCCAGTCCTCACCRTAATTGAAAGCCTACTATTAATAAGTATTTTAGGAATTGTATTAAGAATGAGTTATCAATGGGAAGGCAGGTARTATTCTCCTAAGTGGCATTTTAGTGCATATTAAGCACTTAAAAATGAAAGCAAAATACATTTGACATGGTACAGATATCACTTCCCCTCCTTCAGCACTGGCACTTACAGTGTTGATTAAGGAGCATTCGGATTGAAATGCGACTCATGTAGAAGCGATCTAAGAAATACTGCACATTCTGTGAGGTCACTGGATCAATGCCAAAGCTTTCCTTGTATTCTATGACTCCTTGAGCCATTGTAGGAATTACATCATTGTGTCGATTTCGGATTTTTATCACAGTATCTGTAAAACTAAAATGAATATATTGTTAGCATTTCACTTTTAAGGGAATTCAATACTCCRGCAATCAGAGTGCCCATCTACAAAAATGAAGTCTTATGTACAAAAATACCACACGTCTGCCTACTGCACTAAAAAGACAGGTCAGTCTTTACAGGGTATTTCAGGTGACTACTATTGAAACAATCAGTAATCAACTATTTTGACTATTTATAAAATTATTATTTATTTAATACTTTAATTACTACGAAGGGAAAGAAAAAACTGTGCTGTTTTCATGCAAAACAGCCCATGCCTGGCAAATGGCACTTACGGTCAGCCAACACTGACCAGAGCCATTCTACAGACTGACATTATGCTGAACTGCTTTGTTTCCTCCTTTTAAAGATGGGGCATGACATTACTGCAATTCTTATGTAARTATTTGAGATAGGAAATTTTTTAAGCTATTGTTTTTTTGCCAGTTCTTCCCTACAATATTAACAAAATATTAACATATGTGACAGCAAAGCCYTACCTGTGAACAGCGCCTGAATCTTCTGAGCTTTTGTCCTTAAAGTCAAGAATCTCCTGAAGACTTTGGACGTACCTTTCAATGAAACAAACAGGATAAAGACCAGTTCTAATACACCTCCCCAGATCTCTCTGGTTAGCAAACTGTGGTCTCCCCCTATTGCTTTTTTCCAAATCATTGTGCCCATTTCCCCTGTGAATTTTGTTAGACTCCTTTGAGTCTATTTGTGATGTTTTCTCCTAAAATTTCCAAAGTAATGAATTTCACAATTTAATTAGAATGCATAAATTATCATCTTTTGCTTTAAACCCAGTAGGTGATCATTTATTTGCAGCCTCAGCGAGTTTGTTATTAAAAAAATCTTTCCATTTGTTCGTGGTTTCAGTATTTCTGCCACCTCTTTCCTTAGATGTGTATTTTCCAAGCTGAAGAATTCTATTTGGTTTCTCCTCACGCAGAAATTGTTCCAACCCTCTGATTATCCTTCTTGGTCTTTTCTGTTCAGCATGGAGCTGCATGCAATTCAGAGGAATAACAGGCTAACACAGTGGTACAATTATATTCCTTCCCACTTGTTATTTAGTCCCTAACACTATTTTCCTTCTTGCCCATCAACTGACATAGCCAGAAAAATACTCCCAGTAGCATCAAAATTTATTTTTCAATTGTAAGCAAGCAAGCACACAGGGAGTGGAGATTCTTCTTGTTCTGGAGGATTTTTACCAAAAAAAAAAAAAAAAATCCGAAGACATAAATGTGTGCAATACTTAGTGATTTTTAATTCTCTTGTGAGTTTTCTAATTGCTCCTAAAGTTTTTTTCCCCATGTCTGTAAATTTAGTTTCTGATCTAAATCACACTGATATATTTARTATCTCAGTATAAATAAGTGATGTTTACTTAACAAGGCCATGAATGTTCTTTCAGTAGAAGAGAATGATTTCCCCCAACCTGTGTATATGCAGAAGGTCACCCTTCAAGGAATGTGTCACTGTTCTTACCAGCTCTGCACCAGCTGAACTGAAGGTGTTCTTAGGAGGTTATCTGGAAGCAAGCTTATTTCCTTCATTATGTTTGCCAGTCTCACAGGCAGCTCTTGTCTCAGAAACATAAATGAAGTCTTTTCACAAGCATTTTCAGACCCTAAGACCAAAATAAATACATGACATCAGAACTACACAAACTCTTGCTTTCTTGCATAAATGGCCTATGCCTTGGTGTCAAAGCTGACTCAGCCAGACTGGCAAACCAGAGTTTCTTTCATGGCAGCAGCCSACTTGTATTTCAAAATTTATCTCATAAAAACCTACCTGTTGTAGTAATGAGAATCTTCATATATAAAGAGAAACCAGTGCAATAGTTGCAGACCCATACTGCTCAACTTGAAATATGGCTTCTGTACATGTATATTGTTCATTTTATTTGCAGCAAACATTGACTACAACCAGCACTGACCAATCAATATGTCATTCTGAGCATGTCAGARAAGCAAAGGAAATCAGCACGGGAAACTATTTATGAAAAGGATGCTTTAGAAAGTATCCTAGTCCCATACACCCTGCTTTTGATCACTGAACTTAGTGAATTATCATAACTCGTCCTCAAACACTTTCAGAAAATAAATTCAGCAATATTGATCTCATTTTCAACTAAACTTCTTGTAGTTTAAATTCAGTCTTACAGGAACAGAAGTCAGATGAATGAATTCACAKGAATAATGAGAAAGAAATGGAAGTAGGACAGCTATTCTGCTTACCCATTAGGATACTAACACAATTATTTACATTTAATTTTTTACATTTTTAAAAGCTGGAAGTGCAAATACTGAATCTATTGATAACTGACCTCTCCTTTTATAAGAACAACTCTCATCTGTGTGGGTGGCAATTAAATGTGGTTTTTAAAATTAAGACCTACATTTACTCCCACAAAGCTTGTTTTCCTTGGCAAGAAAGGAGGGTGCAGTGTGGGGAAGAGACGAAGAAATGCTGTACTTTATTCTCAGCCAGTCTTCTTTGTCCACTTCAAGACTGTCACATAAACAGCATCTGAACTTCCTAACCTGCCCATCTGCTGCAGTGAAGTGCTTACCTCAGCTCTGGAGTTTCACAACAGGTACCGCCTATAATTTAACTCTGATATTACTGCTCAGTTCACTCCTTCCATTTGGCTTGGGGAAGAAGATTAAAGGAAGGGATGTGGAAAGAAGTTGGGAGTGCCTTAAACATGAAAAATCTTCACMAAATGTAAATGGAGTGGTTTACTTTAAAGCATTCAGACTCAGACACATCATAAACTACATTGATGAAGGAATTTCCATTAATAAAAAAGTGAATAATATACAAGAAATTCTTCCCCAATGGCACTTACCACTATTATGCCTTGTCTACATATGACCTCTGCCTAGAAACCTTTCATTCTTCTCCCTAGTCAGACTGTATTTCAGACATGACTGTTACCGGCCTTTTCTTGGGTAAAATTCCAATAATAAGTCAGGYTGGAGGTATTAGAATGTAAATATAATCTTTAAATGCCTCATATACATATACTCAGCAAATTACATTCCACAAAATAGCTTTTCTTTGAAGGCCTTACCTTTGCAATCCTGGGTCAAATATGGAAGGCATTATACAGCAGGCAGATTGAACAGGCAAATTACTCTCTTCCCCTTTACTATGCATCTACAGTCTATATCTAAGCAAAGAATGGGTAAGACTCTTACAAAAAATACTGTGGTCTTAYAACCCAAGACCAGACTTCAATTTGCTAATAGAATATTTCAATTTTTTAAGTTAGCATTATCAGATTTTATTACTTCCTCTTTGACTGCTTTCATTCTAGAAAAGGGAGCAAAACCAAAAATCCCTAATGAAAATACCATCAGATTATAGTGGCTACAGAATATCTTACAAATACTGTCTCTGTCTTGCATTCTACTATTTTTTATTTCTGCTATTAGTTTTTRCCATCTGTGATTAAATCCTTGAGCAAAAGAGGAAAAAAAAATTAAAGTTTTCAAGATTATTTTTACCTTACGTTTAGGAACTAATAGCCAAACACTTTTTCACACAAGGAAATACGAGTGCCTTGAAAATAAACACTGATTTTACGGTAAGCATTATTTTATCAGTAGTGYTAAAATAATACAGGTCAAAGGAAACTCTGAATTGGAAGATTTTCTCCTTAAAAATATGGCAGCAACAGAACATATGGTGGGCTTCCTGTAGGAGTCTAGAGTTTTAAATGCTGGATACATTTCATTGCCACAAGTGAAATGTTGAATACATGGATGAAGTGACAGCAGATAGTTATGGGAAAGTCTTCTTTTGTAGGCCTTCCTGCTTATACAAAGTTTGGGATTCTATGATTACTTTTCAATTATATTTTACTTACAAAATTGTAAAAAGCAATGGAACTATTTAGTTAAATACGTAACACTTACATAAACATTTATGCACACCAAAGAGCCTTGGGTTGAGAAACAAAAGATAGTGTAGAATGGCTCCAACCTCAGGCTGTGAAAAGGTGTCTCAGTGTGACTTACACAACCTTTCTCTATGTGGTCTTTGCTTTGAAGCAGACTAGAACTATTCCTGTAACCCCTTTTGTTTTCAAGCAGTCAAACATGGAAACATTAGGAGTGGTTTCAGTGCAGAGTATAAGAGTAAATCCTATTACTAATTTACTCAYTTTCAAGACTAGATTCCAAATCCTCTAGGATTGCTGTTGGTGTCTGCATCTTACTACTTTGCTCACACACCTTCTAAAACAGCAGCATTCGGGCAGGATATTTCTGTAGGGCACAGATAAGCGACTGAGAAGTGACGACTGTTTCAGCCCCTCGGTGCCAGCTGAGGCARAACGTTTCACGTGTTTGGAAGATGCCTTTAAAAGGCCACATGCTGCTTTGCAAAAGGCTTAACCAGTCTCACCTGTCTGAGTCACTGCTCTAATGCTACCAGCTGTCACAGCTGTTCCAACCCTCTCCCCAGCACTGCGGGTTCTGCAGGAAAACACTCAACTGCCCTGATGGTGCCAAAAACTGGAGTTTTCAGCTGCATTTCAACCTTGTCATAGTTGCAGTGTCCGGGAATGAGCCAACTGGGCTCCCTTGACCTAGCGGGAAGCAGAGCCTTTTCCTGCCAGAAAGCACAGCAATTAAGGAGATCAGCAACAGCCGGGCAGCGCTCACGGGCTCAGGAGTCGTGGCCGTCCCGCTCCTCACAAGCACCTGTGGGAGGAGGGGCAGCGGTCGAGAGCGGCTCGGCGGGGACTCACCGAAGTCCAGAAACTGCTTCATGGAGAGCGGCGAGGGGGAGAAGCGTGAGTAGAAGTCCACCTGCTGCGGGATGTTGCCCAGGGAGGCGCTGCCCGGGGCGGCGCCGCGCAACAGGGCGCGCAGCAGCCTCATGATGCGGCTCCGGCCCCTCAGCTCAGCCCGGCCCGGCCGCCATTTCCCGCCGCGGAGCTCCCCCTGCCCCTGCCCAGGCAGCGGCCGCCTCTGCCGCGCCGCCGGGAGGAGGTGCCCGAGGGGTGGGTGGGTGTCTTCGCCCGGCCCAACCCCACAGCGGCGCGGGGGGCGGAGGAGAGGGCGGCTCTGAGGGAGCGGGGCGGGGGCGCCCGGAGCCGCCCGGCAGTGCCTGAGGGCAGCTTGCCGGCCCGCCGGGACAAGGCGACGCTCGCTCCGTGTGGAAGCCCGGCCACGGACAGGTACGCGGCGTTAGGGGGGTTCTGGTGTCCCCGCCTGCCCGGCGAAGGGCTGCGGGTGCGCGCCGGCCCCGGGGCGGGGAGCCCTGAGGCGGCAGGAGGGGCGGTGGGTGCGGGGGCTGGGGCCGTTGTGTGTGCTCCCGCGGCCAGGCCGAGAGGTGCCCGCGTCCGAGGGGAGCTCGCCCGGCATTGGGGAGTTCGGGGCTCGGCCCTGCGGGGTCAGCGCACCCGGGGCTCTGCGGGCACTCCCTCGCCATAGGATGGGACCGGGCCGGGGCCGTGGCGGGCGGCGGGGACTCGGCTCCCGGTATGCGTGTCCCGCGGGCTAGAACGGGAAGCTGCAGAAATCCACAGACGCGCCGGCGTTATCCGTGCGGCCGGCGGCAGGACAGAGCCTCACCCGAGCGAATCGGCCAGGTTTAAAGAGCCGTGTGTCTCCTCACTATTGCAGCGGGGTCTGCGTTCCTTTCAGTTACCAGGAAAAAGAGTCAAAAAAAAAAACCCCAAAACCAGTGAGGAAAAATAGGGCTTCTGCCTTTATAGATAGACTCCTGATGGGTCAGCAATGAGCACAATATGTGTCTGTATTGGTTGAAAAGCACTCGGATCAAGTGTCACATTAAATCACTTTACTGCTTCTTGGAGTGCAATATGAGGTACCAGTGAATTGAATAGTTTATTGTCCTGGTAGAAATATCTAGAATATTAACCAAAAAAAAAACCAACAAAAAAAAAAACAGTTGAGTAATTATGAGTATTGCTGAGAAACTTACTGCAGTATAGGTGTTAAAGAAATTTTTGACATTAGGCTCTCATCTCCATCAGATGGATTTATTGGTACAGATAAATTTTGATACCTGGTAGCTTGAGCTAGGTGCCTCCAAAGAGGGACCCTGGACAGAAAAAATCCCTGGGCAATTATTCTGACAGTCTAAACTCTGCACCCCTCACATAACAGTCTGGATCAATAGCCATAGTAGAGTCCRGGCCCTTCTTGCCCTTCATTGTTTTCCTGTTTTGAAGAGTTTGCCATGTGGTCATCTTCACATCCTCTTAAGTCTGTTTCTTTGGGGGTTTCAGTCAGTTCTGTAGTCCATGTTATMATATGGTTGCTCCAGCTGTTAATGTTTAAGTAATATTTAAACTATCATTTTGTCTGTTCTAACTATTATTAATGTTCAGCCTGTTAGTTCCAGGCTTCACTGCGATCCATCTTTTACTTACACAATATAGCCACATAGCTCAGCTTGCTATAACAATTCTAGCTACTTAGGTCAAGCAAGCACTTAGCTACTTTCAAATAATATGAGCTTTTCAACAATTCCTACCTTTGCTTTGATAAGCGTACCTGCTTTAGTTATTTCGTATTTGAMATGAGTTTAACCTAGTGGCCTACCAGAGTTTGATGGCAAGGCTTACTCTGTTAGTTACTACACAAGCCATAATTTACACTCAGGCACAGAGATATGTACATCTATAGCTATGTAYAAAGTTACTATGAGTTCCCTTTGAGTTCAGTGGAATCCATCGAATCCATTTGCATTTCTCAACAGGCAGGTGTCACTCRTTGAGGGCTGTTAGGGGGATGGCCTTGCAAGTACAGCAGATTTGAGGGTTTATGAGCTCCAGGARGTGTCCCACTCTGAGAGGTGCTGGTCACAGCCTGCTGCAGTCTGGGAGACCTCAAAGGACCTCTCTTGGTACTTGGTGCTCTTTTTTGGGTCAGGAGATTCTTGGCTTTAGTCATCAATATGTTTCCATCCTGGCCAAAAGCCAGGTTTRTAACTACCAGAAATTTGGGGGGAAAGAAGTCCAGTCACAATGGTGCTGTTTCATTTGTACTGCAATTCAGGGAGATTGCTCCTGAGATGATAGAGCAGGCCTGAGGAGGTGTGGAGGGAATGCACCATCACAGTTATCCCATGTCTGAAGTCAGTTCATGTTGCTCCACAGAGTGACAATGTGGTCACCTCTTGCTTGCTACTCTGCCTATAAACAGGTTAATGCCATGTTCCARTTGTAATTTGAGGGAAATTTTTGGTTATTATGGTTTTGTTAAATCATGTATATCAAGAAGGCCTCTGCAACAGTGCCATCCATCAAGTTATTCTCTACACTACACCATACAGAAATGCTCTTCAATAGCAAGCATTATCCCAATTTACCTTTTGCATTTCAGTGAGCAAGGTTCTCTCATCACCTGCTCTTATAATTACTATTGACAGTAAATGGTACCCACAGGGAAGAAACATATATAGTGTGAAATGTACTATAGTTACCATATTTATTAAAATAAAGAAGCTTCTGTGGGGAGCTTGGTGTGTGAACCAAATTTGGTTCATGCTGGCATGGTTGCTYCTGCAACAAGGGTAAGCAATCCTTTGATGGCTAACCCAATCTCCAGTGGACGTGTGCTGGCATCATTCCCAGTGTCATTCCTGAAAAGATAAAACAAGATCAACAGTGGATCATGCACTGTATCATTTGCTTCTTTTATTGTGGATACTTGTATTTGCCCCATAAATTTATCTTATTAAATCAACTTTTAAATAGTTTGGTTTCCTTTAAACAAATCTTGTACCTGTGATTTGTCTGTGACATGATAGTGGGGATGCATATCCTACAGCATCCACTAGAGCAGGAATAGTTTCAATAATTAATCCATTAATCCATTCAGTGCTTTGTTGGATTGCCCTCCATTTAAGATTGTCTTATTCCTTTTTAGTCTTGCATTGAAATACAGAAAATATTTGATTCAGTCAGCCTCCAGATGCAGTTTCCTGAGCAGGAACTGCACCAATGGTATGTGAGAATGAAGCAGTAGTTCAGGATTTGACTTTTTTCATCAGGTTTGTAATATAACTGTACCTTAATGTTTATGCTGAGACTGGATGGCTTGTTCTGTACTGGCCAGGGAGTGGTGGTTAATGGGGYGGACAGCTTGTCTGTCTCTGCAAGACTTCTACAAATACAGCTTATTGGCAGTTTTTGGTTATTGCTGCTTGTAAGGCACCCCAGGAACACTAAGGAGTAGCTCAYGCTCCTCAAGTTTGTAATAGTTTGAGACTTGTACTTTGTCAAAACCATTTTATGACGGTCTCTCAGTTGTGAGCCAGCACTGTTTTAAAGAAGTGCCTACAAGCAGTACATCAAGTCTTTGTAAACTGTTAAAATTCCTTACAATGGCTCTGGATTGGCTTCATCTTTTAGAGCGCTATATTACTGTTTTGTTTTATGTTTCACCTTTACAGGCATGCGCCAAACACTGGCCTTGTGCCTAACATTATCTTTGGACAGCAGTCCCCAGCCACAAGACGTGGCAAAGGCTGCCAGAGGTTAAATAAACCATTGTGTAAGCTAGAGACTATACATAGTCATGTAAACAGTGAGCACTTTTCTCAGGAAAAGCTGTGCAGGATGAGCAGTCACAAAAGTGTGTATAGAAGAATTGTGGGTAATTCTTTAACTGCTTTATTCAGAGCAGAATGTCTCTACCTAATGGTGTTTTCTTGGTCTTGTTTAAATGATTGATTTAAATGATTGATCAGATACTGACCCATGTAAACATGTTCTGTTAAAATACTGGAGAATATCTTGAATGCTCTTTCTCCCCTGAAAAATGATCCTCTCATTGATGATTTCCTGGGGGCTTGCTCTGATGAGATCCAGTGTGACATTGGCCAGAGTTCAGATGTACTAATTTCTGTAAATTCTTACACAAACCAAAAAGGACAAATGTATTATTTTTATTTGGCATTCTTCTACTCATAATCATGCTTATTGGTGTTCTTGAAATTATAATACATCTGAATACATAATTTAAATGGGACRGAACAATTCAGACTTCAAATGAAATGAAAACAGAGCATTTARTTGAACTTCAGTTTAATGTAAGTTTTAATATTGCAGGGTGTTTCATAGAAAGACTTTCTTGTTAAAGTGATAATGGAGTCTTCATCCTTGGGTGCTGCATGTACTGGTGCTTTTTTCCTTTTCTTTAATGTCCTCCASAGTAGGTGCAGCTCAGATTAAGAAAAAACTTACATTGCCAGGTATGAATGTCTTTTGTTGTTTATATGCTTTGCTGTGATGCCTGGCCCATCCAGCCCATCCAGCCATGTCTCTTTTCAGCCTGTGTATTTAAGCTGCACAAATTGTTGTTCTCAGGTTTGTCTTTGTTTTTAGGTTTTTGTCAGTAAGTTAAGCTTTTGCTATGCTAGCCTCATTCTTAGCGTTACATTGGTTTATGTGACTTTGGTCTTTTTTGCAGAGGTAGAAATAAAAAGATACAAAAATGGCAGCAAAGTTGGTAAAAAATGTGGAGGGGTTTCTACATGAGTTACCAAACTATAGCAGATTTAAGAACAGATGAGTTTATTTTTATCCAGTGTATAATTAAATTTCAGCGTTTGTGCATTTTTGCCATGACAGCTTTGATTAAAGATCAGGAGGCAGTTGGAGAAATTTTGATTATCATGGATGCTCTTAGTGATGCAGTTTAGATTTAGGTAGCCCTGTGAGGAGCTCTGATACTTATGGGTCTCTTCCAACTTGAGATACTCTTTAAGATTCTCTGGATGTATTTTTCTTCCATAGGAAAAATATGCTACACAGCTACTGAATTTAAGCATGAGCATTTTTTGGTAACAGGAACAGYAAAGTATTGCCATCGTGGCCACTTAATTCTTAGCAGTTGTCAAAGGTGGGATGCTGATTCAGGTGGATCTGTACTCTGGTCCACSATGGCTGTTCTCATGTTGTTCCTCCTTGAGAAGCTGGCATTGGTCGCAGAGTGCCTTGTAAGCTGGCTGGTAGCGATGCACTTCTCAGCTTGGTACTGAGGTACTCTTGGACCCYTCCACCTCAAGAATCCAAGCCATAGCTTGCAAACATCTCTTTTAATCAACTTACCAGYTGCATATTTCATATCTTCCCAGCAAAAGTATTTGACTTTCCTGTGTTTTCCTTCCCTATCCCCCCAAGGCACTGGGACTAAGAGGTTAAAATACACAGTTAGCTTTGAGGGGTGTTTGGTTTGCAGCAGCAAGGATGCCTCCTCTTGCAAGAAACTCTGTTCTGTGTGTTTTCTAAGACATTGAGGTAGGAATGGCCCTGAAAAGGTGCTGCTTGGAAGCAACCATTTTGCAGAGCTAGAAGAGGAAGAACGTGGTCTTTCTTGCAGTATGAAAAACACAAACTGCAGGTCCCTAACCTCTTTACAATGACAATGTCACACTTTGGCTGGGGTTTAAGGCCCACTTCAGCAGTTGTCTTCTGGGGAAAGGAGTTGCTGTGTTTTTCTCACAAGATTAGGACTCAGCAAAATTTATGAGGCTGCAAAGATGTTTAGTATGAATCATCACTCTGGGGCCTGGGAAGACAGACATTTAAAGACATCTGAGGACTGGGATAAAAAGCTGAAGCAACTGATGACACAATCCTATAGGGAAATACACGGCTCCCATTCTTGTGTTGCACAGTGGTGCTGTCTGGCAAGGCAGCTGAAGCACATCCAAGCRCGTCCACAGGCTGCAGTTGCCAGCTTGGTCTCCTGGCCTTTGCAAACCAGCTGCTGACACACTTGCCTTGCTCTGGTCTGGGAGAAGCTACTGCAGCTGTTAGAACATTAGCAGMTTTCTGGTTCTGTGCAGTCTGTTAAGGCACACTGCAGCCATGATGATTAGCATTGYAATGTAGGTACTTTATGGGGTTTGGCAGTTCAGTGCCCCTTTCAGGAGTTTCCTTTCACCTCATGGTTGATTCTTGACATTTGTGTCCAACTGAGCACCCGGTTCTCTTTTTCCACATAAAACTTCTGGACAGGAGGCTATTGAAACTATGCTGTGGTKGTCCCTTATATTGTATATATACATATATACACTCTTATAAGGTTTGTTGCACTGTGAAACATAAAGGTATGGGAAAGTATTGCAGTTTACCAACATTCTATTTRTGTACCTTGGACTATATAGTGTGTATTTTTTGGATATAGGTATTCATCTACATTGCATACACACACAYTATATATAGCAAATCCATTAAGGTTATATATCACATATATGCATACATAGTATACACATACATTATTACAGTAGTGTACCACTGTATATGTTGTATATACTACATCTAGTACTAATATGTGTGTGATATGAGCATATAAATAAAACCAAATATAATAAAATTTGTACTAAACRTACTATGATCAGCTACTTAACTGTTCTGCCAGTCAGTATTTCATCTTCTTCTAGACAAATGTTTGTGGGTATTGCCTAAAGAAGAGTAATTGTTTAACAGGAGCAGGTTGAGTTCACATCTTTGAGATGCTCTGAAGGGTCTAGCAGCAATTTCTGCTTCTAGGCCTGGAAGTTTCTTGACCACAGCAACAAACACTAGCCTAACAAACATCCAACCAACCTTTATTTTCAGATTTTGTTGCATCAAAATCAGCCTTTCAGCCTTTTGATGAGCAAAACATCCAGTGAGGGCTGAYATCTTAAAAGTGGAAATAAGCCACATTTTGTCTGTTGGGTTTGGTGGACTTTTTTCCCTGCATATTTTTGGCTTTTCTGTAGGGTTTTCTCCCTGCAGTTATGTTATTGACTGTCAATATCAAATTTCCACTGCTAAATACAAACAGATATGTGAAGTCCTTGACCAATTTTGGGAGATATAGCCATCTCTTCCTACTTACTCAARTATTCATCTGGCAGTATTTAAGAAAGAGGAGGCTGCTTACATGGAAGGTGCCCAGGGCAGCACATGGAGGAGAGGGGAGCTGTGTCCTAGTGGRAGCTGGCACATGGTGCTCTGACTCTTACCAGTGCTGGCACCTGCAGCAAGCAGCAGAGAGCCTGCCAGAGTGAGATTGTGCCTTATCTYCTGCAGCTCCTTATCTGCCCCGTGCATGGGGGAGGGCAGCAAGAGCTATGGCAATGCTGAGAGTGAGAGAATCTGTTAAAGCCTRCCACTTTCAGCCTGTTTTTCTAGTGAATGTAGCTATGGCCACCTCAGTTAAGTACCGTAAAATCACTATTACCAAGACCATCTTTAATTTAAAAAAAATTTATTTCACACTTCTATACAAATATCCACAGGTAATTTCTAATCATGGAATGATGTAACATTCTCAGCTGGTAYAACAAAAGTTTAAGATAAAAATATGCCAGTGACATGACTTGTTTTTCGAGAACTTTAACACTGCTAAGACATTCATGTTCTTAGGTGAGGACCACTATCTGATTTTATATTCACRGGTATTTCTCAAGCTTCTTAGCCCTGATTAGCCTGACTTCTAATGCTGCTGAGCCTTTAAGCAAATAAGCTAGAATTTTAAAAGCTCAGGAACTGGGTAACATCTAAATTAATATGTGTTCCTAAAATATGTGTTAACAAAGATGAGTCTAGTAAACTAAAGGTAACTTTTTAGATGACCACACCTTCCAAGAAGATACATTCAAAGTCAGCAGTAAAAATAAGACACTTGACAACTGCCCTCCTAGCAGGTTCTTACCCTATGAGGAGGAAAAGTACCAAGAGGTTTTTGCATAGTTCATATTACAAGCAATTACCTGTATACTTTTTGAGCAGAATTTTGTTTCAGATGGAATACACTATTGTGAACTAAATTTTTAATCATAATTAGTACCAAGGCTTTAGAACATGGGTAAAAAAAGTAAACTCTTTAAATCATTTTCTCAGTTATGTTACAATARCTAGATTACTAATAAACAACATCACGGTTCTACTTTTATCAGCATGTAGGCATTCAGGATGATTCAGTAGTCTCCACATGGATCAGCTCAGATCCTGACAGTTAAGGTAAATTAAGCATCTCCAGCCTCCTTCAAGTGCTATACAACAGTTGCAGTAGTCAATGCTTTTGCCAACCAGGACAGCGTTTCCAAAGGACTTTTCACTTTCTTGCAGCAAGTATAAAACGTTATCTAAAACACTACTTTTGCTTGGTKTCCAAATAGTTATAGTCCACAATACTATACAAATCATGTTACAGGACCTGATGTTACAAGTATCAGAAAAGAAAGCCCTCATACACATCATTTGCATAAATATTTACATTTTAGAAAGCTCTGGCACCTTCAGTGATTTATTAAAATGCAGTGAAAGCCTCAGGTCTCATAATCTGAAGTTAAAAAACATAAACACAAAAACCAAAAAAGTGTATTTGAAAATTCAGTAGTCTTTGGCCTAACAGTTAGTCAAAGACAATGATTTATAATAAATAGAAAAATGACTAAAATGTATATACAAAAAGTACATCTAATATTCAAGCCTTTCGTAAAAAAAAACCCAAAAACCTGTGTATATTTGTTGTGAGAAGAATCACACAATCTGATCTTAATAAAACAAACAACCCAAAATCAAGCAACATGACCCATTGCACATGAAATTTAAGATGATGCTTTTTGCCAAGCCCTAACTACTGCAGCAGGYATAGGTTGTGACTAAAGCAGACTTGCAGGTCTTCAGATATACTTGAACCAAGTATGCTAAGGCCACTGTGTGTTTATAAAGCACTATGCTTTGAGGGAACGATGGAGAACTCACCTTGACCATAATCATGTATGCCTTACATACCTAGGAAGAAGGTCAGGATCACTGGAAAAGGTCTGCTGTAGTGGTTTTGCTTATTTTGCATAAAAGACCCCAAATCAGCATAGTATTTTCTAAAGTGTGGGTTAGATTTAAGGTGGGGGCAAGAGGCAGTGTGGAAATTAAATAATGCAAATAAAGTCTGTTGAAGCCATTTTAACTGTGCAAACAAAAGCCTCAATATAAGTAGTAATATCTACAATCAAATAGTGAATGTCCATAGTGTTCATAGGTCTAATTCCACCAGTATTCCATGAATGAAAACCTTAACCTCTGTCTGAACTTTGAGGATAAACATTTTTGCCTAAGAATAACTTTCATTTTCATTCCATTTTGTGAACCACTGTTTTGTCTCAAGGTCTTTGCTTGTCCCATCTTTGATCTGTCGCTCCTCTTTTCGAATTCTTACAGCGTGATAGCGGGGGACACTGTCTTCGTACCTGGAACGCCGGAAGAACCCGCACTGGGCAGAGAAGGAAAAGAACAGTTTAGGTGGAAGTTGCTGCCAAAGCACTACAATAGTAGAGGCAGTAAATTCTTCCTTCACACAAATAAACAGGTAAGAAAATGGAAAACAAAAGTATGTAGGCTAAAATGTAGCATATGTAGCTGTAAAAATGTGAGCCAAGAGGTCTGCATTAGCTGTTCAGCAGCAGTTAAAAACAAAGGGCATGCTCTATCCATGGAGAGATTCCCTCCAATTCATTCATCTACTGAGGACATTTACTGCTACACACAGGTAAGCTGCTTCTCCTGAATAAAAGGTGGGTATGTACTTCAGTGTCTTTCTTTATGGTGACATGATTCACCRTTAAGAACCTATAGAAAAATTTTTAGAACATTCAAGAAAAGTTAACCCYCTAAGGGCCTTGTTTTTTCAAAGCACCATTTTAGCTACAGACACCTGAACTAACTATACCTATGCTGTGTTAGAAACACAAGTCTTGCTTTGCCATGGGAGGCACCCTAGATGAAATCTAGGACAGCTTATTTGTGCTCGGTAATTTTTGGCTCAAAGCTGCTGTAATTTAAATATCAAGGAATGACTGAAATTAATTATCAAAACGAAAAGGAGCTATGGCCACAGTATTACAAACATGATGACTGGTACACATGTAGCTTTACATCCTTATGAATCACTGAGGTCAAGATTCAGGTTAAGAGAACATTGCACCATCCAGCTGTCGATACTGCTGAGGGCAAGAAAATATTAGAGTGGGCAAGGTTCTGTTCATAGTATTTAGGGTTTTGTTTGGTTGATGGTTTGGGGTTTTTTGATATTGGAACCTAGAGTGACCAAAGACCAAGTCTTCAGCCATCTTGTATGTTTTGTCATAATTCATTAAGAATTCCTCCTCACCCCCTCATCCCAAGCATCACTTATGGATACAGTGTACATGCATATAATATCTTAAGTTGAATAAATGTTGCTGGAAGCATAAATCATCATGCATCTTGTAGCTTCAGCAAAGCGTGTTCCTAGAGAAATACACCTTAGAACTCAAGAAAAACAGATGTTTCCACAAACCCTTCTTGTTGTAAGCAACAGGTACCTTTCAGCATGCACTTAAGGCTAGTAAAGCAAATTTATATTGTCCATGGAGACTTATCTTTACATCTGAACTCTACAGTATTGATTCCCATCTTGCAAGCTTAAAGACTTACTTGTAGTGTTAAAGCATAAAATTTAAAAAATACTATAACACATTGCAACAGATCACCATGCTTTTAAAGAAATAAAATAAGAACCATTTTAGACCAGGGTAAACACCTATGTGTGTTCACATGCACCAAAAGCTGAAAATCTGTCAACAGGAGGAGCAAGCAAGTATGATAGCTTGAAATCCAAAAGTTAATAGAACATATGCAGAAAAAGCTTCAGTTAGCCACTGCAACCATAGCAAGTGCCAGAGCTAGAAATTAAAAAATATCATCAGTTACCAATTACAGAAGTAGATCAGTATTATGCATCAGAAGTAAGCCTCTCTTTATCAGATGGCTGAGCATGGATCTCAGCCTTGTGATATGTGGCATCATAATGATCTTTCTTATTTCTCTTGAAGAAACCACACTACAAGGAAGCAAGGTATTTAGTCAATTTTTGTGGACTGAAAGATGTCAAACCTAATAAAACTGACTTAGCTCTGTGAACTGTCTTCCCATTACCCCTTCACAGGCCAACCAATAACAAAATTWAAAAAGAAAGAGAAAGAAAGAAAACACCAAAAATGTATAAAAAAAAAAAAAATCACAAGAACGTAGCTGTTTCTAGATGTGAGAACCAATTTGATCTGTACAATAACAAAGTAAACTGAGAGTATTATTTAAAGGCATTTTGATAAATTTGTAGGGAATCCATTTGGAATATTTTTTTAAGAAAAGCTACAATAAAGTGTGTCCATACAAAGTAAAGGTGGCAGAAAGAAGCCTATACAGAAACCTGTTTGTGGACTAGTGCACAGGACGGGTAAAAACACAAGGTGTAGAACAAAACCACTTACTGCTTTGACCCTTTTAATACCAGCTTTTGTCTTAAACCAATGATGTAACTGTCTTTGCAGTACAATGTCTGTCCTTCATAAAACAGCACAGTCTCTGTCATCAAAAACAGCATTTTACACTGTGTCTACATGTGAAAAATGTGTGTATTTTCATGCACAGTAAAACACTATTAGTTAGAACCTGACAGCCCACTCAGAGTATCCATGGAATATTTGCAGGAGCAGCTGGCATTTTYAGAAAATAAGGAAATCAAAACTATCGTGTGAGAAGTAGCCTGTAGCAAATAGTAGTTCCTCAAAGCTAACTGCTCCAGTTTCACTTGAAAAAAAGTGACAGGGTRTTCTTTTTCATCTCCTCTTCCCTTCTGCTATCCTATAAAAGCAAATGCCAACTGCCTACACCTGTAAAAACTAGCAATAAAAGGATTGCTCTGTTATACTTGGGACCACAAATAACTGGCATTTTCACGAAGATCACTAGAAAAATATGTAGTTTATTTTTTCTCTTGCAAATAGTCAACAGCAYACATAGCTATGTATTAAGATGTCCCTTTTGGTTATTTTCATCTACTATCAGTTTAAAGATATTTCTGATATTGTAAGAGCCCTCTTAAAACATTTGTTAATAGCTCACATGAAGTTTTACACCTAATTGTAGAAACTCCCATTAGCTGTATCCATCTGTATCAAACTATGGCCTCTGAACATTTGTCTCAGGTTTTGTCCAGAGCTCAAAATACTTCCTTTTGAAGACATGAAAACAGAAAAATTACATAGCAAGTCTGTGCATACAACCATTTTCATTCCAAATGTTGCAAAACTGAGAAATTGATAATGTGCAGTTTTGCCCTATTCTGAGTCCCAAATACTTATTCATTTGCATAATTAGTTTGCTATTTTGTCAGTTATAGACCAGAAATTAAAAAATAACCAGATGAATAAAAGCTCACCTTCCATAGTAAGAATACCAACAGTGCAAGCATGAGTATTCCAGCAAGGATAGCCACAGCGATGATCCACCACGGAACTCCTGTATAAAGGGCTACTGGTTTTGCAGGAAATACAGTAACACGCACCTAAGGGACAGAACATGTGTGGGTGAAAGGAGTATTTTAGAAGGTACTTGTTTAATTATTGAAGTGCAATTTGGAGTCCTCTCTCTTCTCTAACAAGATACCTTCTACAAAATGCTTCTGAAGAAAAGGTTCCTACTGGTATCATTTTAGTATGGTAATGAACTTTTCCAACCCCACTAAAAGGTAAAAATTATCAATAATGTAAAACTCAGTTAAAAAATTCAACTTCTAGCCAGTTCTGTTTTAAATTTGTTTTGTTCCTGTCTGTGGAGAGAAGCTAGAACAAACACAACCATAACGTGGTTAGCACTAAATGCTGAACATACCTGAGCAACTTCATTTGTGAGTTTAACATTCTTAGCTGCAGCAGGAACACTGATAGAAGCCCTAACAAGAATGTCAAGGTAATTCATTTTGGAGTATTCCTGTTCCAAAATAAAATATGAATATTAGACAAAGCAATAGATAGAACTCTGACCTTTCAAAAATGTCAGGTAAGAGGACTTACCTCTAAGAAAGTACTGTTCCATAGTCTGGAACGCAGCACAATAGATGCCTTGCTGTCTAAACCCTTCAGGGGACACTTTATGTCCACACAGCGTGCATTCACATTGCAGTTCTGCAATTACAGATTTCTACATGTCAGTAAGAGCACATCATCACAGATTGTTTAAACTTCACTCCAAGATTAAAAACTGGATTATACGCATCATATTTACATGCAAGAACCACTATCTATTTGTACTGACAGCCATAGGAAAATAGAACAAAGATGTTACTACTTGCTTATTTTAATGTAGTTAACTGTGCAGATATTCTTTCCTAGTTCTCTCTCACAGTAGATAATCTAGATTTTAAAAGCATCAATACTTGTCTATAAGATAAGAACAAGGCGAAGAGAGAACTTCTTTCACTCTGCCAAACTCAGAAAAGCCCTTTCAAGTGCAGGGGGAGGTGTCTGACAAGACTATAGTCKGTGCCATATCCTTACCAAGGTCTTGTATTTTCTTTCTGAGAATAAAGATAATGCCTTGCTGTCTGTAATCTGCTTCTCTGCAACCTCACGCTTCCTTCGTGAATTATGGGATTCCTAAGAGGAAAAAAAAAGTAAAAAACCAAAAAGTAATTTATTATAAGAATCTTTTCATTCATACAGAGACACTAGAGCTTAGTGTTTTCTTCTTCCAAAATCAGCACATGACTGACGACATATGTCCCTACTTACCTACATTCACTGCTAAGAGCRGAGTCAGAACAATTGCTAAATTTGGATATTATCTAAAGAAAGGCCAACTGAGTATTTTCTTCAATAAGAGGGAGGTTTAGATTTATAAAGCGTTCAATGCTATTTTCATTTTTGTTACAGACAAAGGRTATTAATGGTACTATGCTAGAGGAGTAAGATTGTGTTAAGGTCAGTAAACGAAGGTTAACTATAATACTAATTACATTCACTAATGTAACAATCTGACAGAAATAGGTTTATGTGCATGCAAATTTAATGCAATGTACCCATATGATCTTAAGTYTACATGCAGGGAAAACAAAAGGCAGCTTAAGTTTTAGGAAAAAGATCTTGCTTAAATAGGCACAATCCAGGGTTATGAAAATTGCATTTTGTTATATTTGTTGTAAATAAATTAATTTAAGTTCAAGTCCTTTGTCTTTAAAAAAAGCACATGCAATGTCCCCAGGCTGGAAGAGRTTTATAGTTACTGGTTTTTGTGTAAGAAATCAGATTTTTTTATTACTGAACAGATTTCAATAATGCTGATGAAATTTGTTAGCACAATCTATAGTTTCATCCTGTATAAGAGTCCATGACGGCAATGCCCATTGCAAAAACAACTGTCACCATGACACAGCATCTATCCTTTAGCATATTAGCCTCATTAGCTGCTACGAAGCCACCTAATAGGCTTAATCATTGATACATTGGTCACATTTCGTGCTTGTGAGCTTCTTAAGATAAAAAATAAATC